GAAAAAGACTACAATATGGTATATATGCAAGTACATATATAGTATATATTAGTAATTCAAAAAATTGAATTATTTAAAGCAACGAAGATCCAGCTCTGACCGTAATAGGCATTTTAATTTCTAGTATTGATTGTATTTCTCACATATATGGTCTAAAAATATAAATATATTATTGATCTAAAAAGATTCATTGATTAAAAGCTGGTATTTATTCATAGGCAACATCACTGCATATTAAAGAAATTGTTAAAAAAATGTAATTTCCATAAAATATAAATTTTTATGTATTCTGAATTTTATAAATAACTGTTATAAATAATTAAAATTATTTTCGGTTGCGAATAACTGATGTCGGACATTGTTTTTGGTTTCGAATAACTATTATAAATAATTAAAACTATTTTTGGTCGTGAATAACTATTACTGATGTCGGAAATTGTTTTAATTACGAATAATCATTATCGATGTAGATTAAAGACCTTACGTAACCAAAATAAAATTCTGGTTATTGATAATGATATATGATAATATTTTTCGCAATAAATTTATTTAAAATTTTTCAGCACATTAACATCCTTCTAATATGATACCGGATTGAACATCAAAATTATTATTAAAATTTGCTTGTCAATTTAATTTAATTTATGATATTATTCCAGTAGTTTAATTGCGTTTGTAAGTCCGGAAAACGAATTCGGCGCGCAGTTTGAATAGCTATAAATATGGTATATGTATGTACAGGGTGTTACAGATACATACTAGGCAGTACGACGGGTTGCACGGCAATTTTGCATAGGTTAAGCGCCTATCCCCGGGCGCCTACCCATGCAAAATTTGCCGCGCAACCCGTTGTACTGCCTAGTATGTATCTGTAACACCCTGTACATATATAGTATATATATATAATTCACATTAAATTATTTAAGCATTAAAGATCTAGCTTTGACCGTTACAGGTTTGAAAATTCTTACTTAGAATTTATTACATTACGGTCTTAATAAAATCATTTATTATAACTTTTTACATTTCAAGAGTTTTAAACATTAAAATGTTGCGTAGTTATTATTCGAAACATCAAAACTAACACAATGTCATTGTTATGATATTAATTAAAATAATTAATATCATATATCATAATGTAATATCATATCTTAGTACGAACACAATCTCAATTTCAACTTGCACTGGTCTTTATTGACTTCAAAGACGGTGAAGAAAAAGTTTAATTCATTGTCAGTGCAAGTTTTTTGTACCAGTATTATCAGTGGAACATTAAATATTAAAAATATGTGAACTGGTTTTCACAGTGGAACAATAAAATTGTACTCAGCATGCACTAGTTGCACTAATGGAAAACGCTAAAAAACTATCGCGTTGAGAAAGTTAAAAAATTTTCATATCTAGAATTAATTGTTAACAAAACCGATACGAGAAAATAAAGATAAAAAACATGCAGATAACAGGTGCTATTACAGATTTAGGAACTTTATAAAAAGTAGGATACTCAACAGAGCATCAAAACTAAAAGTCTACAAAACAATTATACGGCCGCTAGTGATTTATGGTGCAGAAGCTTGGACTACGACTAATCAGATTGCTTAGATGAGTAGATTTTCAAAACATTTGAAAGGAGAATCTTGAGACAGATATTTGGCTTAATTTCAATAAATAATGACATTATCTGGAGAGAATTAGAATGAACTATGAATTAGAAGAATTAATGAAAGGAGAGGACAAGATCTGTTTATTAAAGCTCGGAGAATTGCCTGAACATGTATAGATACAGAATGGATGGCTTCAGAAGACCTAAAAGAATATTAAAGTGGAATCCGTGGGAAAAAGGAGGAAAGGTCGATTCAGGAAAAGATAGCTTGATGACATAGAGGAGGATTTGAGGCTGATGAGTATATAGAGAGAAAGAACGTCGGATAGAACTGAGTGCAAAAATATCGTTGTAGTCAAAACCTATAACAAATGGTTGTAGTGCAGTGGAATAATAATATATGAACTTTACAACTGATATAAATGGGATACTATATCACTTTGATATGCTAAGGTAACAATTTTTTTTATACCTATTAGTTTTAATACATATTAGTTTTTTATATATACATATAATTGATATAATTCATATATATTCATATAATTCAAATAAACATCAAAAAGGACGTATAAGCATCAACGTGTTAAAAAATTATAAATGTCACATAATAAATACAAATAAGATTGAATAAGAATTGAAAAACATTACATGTTTCGGCTTTTTATTAAGCCTTCTTCAGATGCTACTTAACAAAATTTACGCAGTTTTTTAGGATATCCATTATTTAGTCGATAATTTACGATGGTGCATGGTAACATTGAAAGTTCGATGAGTGCCTTCCAAGAGGACGAAACATCCTTCTCAATCCATTAACAAATCGAATGTTTGAACGTTCTAGATATTACATATGTTATAATTTAATGTTGTTTGTATATGATAGAAGGAAAATTGTTAAGAATTATATCTCTTTAACACACTCATCGTACACCAATGAACATCTCATTTATGAAGGAAACATTTACACGCAGGTAACATAAGTCAAAGCGTATAGAATTCGTAAATATCATCAGTCAACTTATATAAAATTTCGTAAATAAATTGAGTCTTGTAATAAATACATTACAAGTGAAATAAAATTTATTCACAGTCCAAAAGTTAAAAAATTGAATTATAAAACATCAAGAGACTGAACCAAGAATATGTTATCCATATGACTTCACGAACACTTCTGATTTTAATTCTCGAAAGATCGATATGTCACAAAGTCAGACTTTGTTTATAATAAGTATATATGCCTTGTTAAAACCTTCTATATGGTTTGGAGATTTAGACTATTGTGCTGTTTTTTAATGTTTATCATTTCAGAGATGAGTCGTTTATTATAGCATGATTCTTCGTCCAAAATTTTAACATTGTCCCAATCAAATTCATGTTGCATCTGCAACCTATGATCAGTTATTACAGAACGGGTAGTTGTGTTCCAATTAATATGATTGCAATGTTCTGCAATTCTTGTTTTTAGTTGCCTACCCGTTTGTCCAACATAGGTTGCATCACAATCTTTGCAACAAATCTTGTAAACAACGTTGCATCTGGACGATTGTTTCGAAACGACGATCCTTTCGAAGTTTTTTATGACATCCTATTCACTTAACATTTGCAATTCAAAGCAAATAATTTTACGCGTGGTTTCATAAAAAGTTGATATAAGAAACGTATAACTAAAACGACTATTTTTATATGTACAAAAACATATTGTAATCTGTTTAAAATTATAATTTATAGCCATGCTTTTATTGTTTAGTCGTGAGAATCCAATGATCATTAAGCTTGCTTGTGAATGGGAAAAACACAATAAAATCATGAAGTAAGCGGCATTCGTAGATAATATACTTAATCAGTAGTATTACTACTTCATCGTTACTTGAAACAATGTTGTTCATTATTATTGTATTAAGTTTAACATGTGTCGCAATAAGTTGTTTTGTTCAAAATTGTCGTTTGTTTTCCTCTCGAACAGTGAAACCGCTACCTGGACCAATAAGATTACCATTTATCGGTAGCACATATCATTTTCTACAACGTTCCAAGGGTAATATATTAGTTCATAAAAGAGAGATTATATAATTGACTAATTTAAAAAAATTTATCTTCCTTCAGAACAAAATTTATTATCGTTAACTTTGTTATACAGGGTGACCCATTTTAACTTAGACAGCCAAATAACTCAAAACATCGCGATTAAATAAAAAAATGTTTAAAACAAAAATTGTTGGATATGAAGGGACTGATTGAACTATGACCTTGACAATGACCTTGACCTTCATTTTCAAGGTTATTTGAAGGTCTACTTTCAATTTTCAAATAGAAACCCATATTTTTGATCCCGGATTTTGAAAGAGCGCAAAATTTTACGTCCAGATGAACTTTCATGTTATGGGTCAAAGTTGACCATAGAAGTCATTTCAAAGACAAATTCCTAATCGAAGCAGAAAGCAAAAAAATCTTGATTTTTCCCGGATAATGTTTGTGAGAAAAATTGTTGGATGTCGAGGGGAGACCAAACCATGACCCTGACAATGTCCTTGAATCCATATTTTCATGACCATTTCAAGGTCAAGTGGGGATTTTTAATAAAATTTTATGCTACATATGTATTTTCTTGTTGTGATTCTTTAGAGCATACCTTACCTTCAAAATCGAAAATTAAACTTTCCATCTGATAGAGTTCCTCTAAGTATCCCTCCAAAATTTTGTCCATTTAGTGCCAAAGTCACAAGTGTTTATGAATTTTTTTTAACATTTGTAATCTGATAAAATTCTGGTCAGGAAAATGGCAAATTATACGCCTACAGAAGTAGTCGATATTCTTATAACCTTTGGTGAATGTGGTAGAAATTACAGACTTACTGCCCGTACTTATACGGAGCGATTCCCAAATCGCCGCCATCCTACTGCTCAACAAATTATGAACATTGAAAGGAGATCTCGTAATAATCCACTTCATCGCGAAAGGCGAAGGAATAGACTTCATAATAATAATGATCCTAGATTGCTCGCAGTTTTGGCTATGGTTCATCAAAATCCCCATATTAGTACCCGTCAAGTAGAACGAGAACTGGGAATCCCTCAAACTACGGTACACAGATTGTTACGATCAGTCAATTACCATCCGTTTCATATTAGTCTGGTACAGCAATTAAGTGAGGTCGACTACGTACTCAGAGTACAATTTTGTAGATGGGCTCTTGAGATGTTAGATCAGAATCCAGATTTTTTCAGTAATGTTTGTTTCAGTGATGAAGCAACATTCATCAGCAATGGTAGTCTCAATAGGCATAATTGCCACTATTGGTCACCAGAAAATCCACATTGGTATCGTGAGGTGCTTAATCAACATCGTTGGAGTTTACACGTATGGGTAGGCATTTGCAATGGCGAAGTCATTGGACCTCATTTTTTTAAACGTACAATTAATAGTCCAATGTATTTGGAATTCCTCGAAAATGATTCGCCAGCATACCTAGAGAATGTTCCCCTTGCAGTTAGACTAAATTTATGGTATCAACAAGATGATGCTCCTGCTCATTATGCTCGTATTATACGGATGTTTTTGAATCAAAGATTCCCAAATCGGTGGATAGGACGGGGTGGACCAGTTCTGTGGCCTTCGAGATCACCGGATTTGAACCCCCTTGATTTCTTCTTATGGGGATACGTTAAAGATGCAGTGTATACTGAAGCTCCAACGACAAGATTGAATATGATAGAAAGAATAAGAAGAGCTTGTGAAGCGATAACTCCTTTAATGCTTGGAAATGTACAACGTAACTTTCGCCGTCGATTACTGTTATGCTTAGAAAATAATGGTGCACACTTTGAGCATCTCCTCCATGCGGAGAGAGCTGATAACAATGCAATCTTGCCTTAACTGGTTGGGTCACCACTCGACCTTGCCTTCACTGGCTGGGTCACCACTCGACCTTGCCTTCACTGGCTGCGTCACCACTCGACCTTGTCTTCACTGGCTGGGTCACCACACGACCTTGCCTTCACTGGCTGGGTCACGCCACGACCTTGCCTTCACTGGCTAGGTCACCACACGACCTTGCCTTCACTGGCTGGGTCACATACCTTCCCTAGGGGCTGTAGGACCTTGTAGATGGTGGGAAGGCTTAAGCGCTGAACCA